CTCTTCTCTCCAATCTTTTCAACCTGGCTCCATCAGTGCCCACGAGCTCTCATTTCTTCCTCACATCATCCTCTCCATCTCACCCTCAGCTGAGATGCCCAACTCGTCGTTTCCCATCTGGGTTACACTCCAGGTCCTGGCCTGGCACGTGATATCCTCGAATCGTCTTCTCAGTGCATACCCAATACAATCCATCTCCACTTCCTTCCAGTTCATATTTGTTGAGCAATAGCTTCTTGATTCGTTGGTTCGTCGCCAGACAGCCAGAGTTCCTCCTTGATTATTCTCATTATTCTGGCCATCCGATCTTTAGTATCGAGTGAGCGTAGGCAGTTGTTGATGAATATCTGTAGTTTGTTGGAAATGCTTTACGTAACGCGCCAAGTCTCTGAACCATCACATAGAAGCACTGACTGACTTGACTGAATTGGTGTTGAAGATTCTGATGTTATTCACGCTTTGTGCTGAGTGCAGATGATCTCCACACTGGTTTCAGGTTAATGAACTCCTGTCTTGCTTTTCCAATCCTGACTGTCTTTCACGTCCTCACCTGTGCCTGTGCCGCCTGTATTTGAAACGATTCTGCCCTGCCTAGGTAGGTGAAAGAAGCTACTTTCTTTAAGTTTCTCACGTTGATAGTGATTGGAGCTTGTTGTTTTTGTTGTTGGTTGGGTATCTTCATCACCTCTGTTTCCTCTACGTTCACTTGAAGTCCCGTCTTCGCTTCGCTGCCTCTTTTATCAACTTTTTAGTTTTTGCCTGCAGATCTTCAAGTTTATGTGACATCAGACACAAGTCATCGTTGGCGAAATCCAAGTCTTCTAGGTTCTTTTCCCCAATCCAGCCAGCGTGTGCCCATCTTCTCACTCCTCACAGTTGTCTGCTGCATGATTCAGTCCACCACAATCAGGAATATCACGGGTGATAAATGTTTTAACAATAACAATGGTGATAATAATAATACAGATAGTAAAAGTGATAAGGTTGACTGAAGCACTTGCAGTATAAATGATATTGATGATAATAAGAAGGAAGAAAGCATCATGAAAATATAGACACTCCGATAATCAAAATGGGTCAGGAGCTTGAGTGGAAAAATAAAAGTTACACAATACTGAAGGATGAGGTAAGTGGATAAGCAGTGTACACAAATATAGTAAGTATATGAAACAGGTAAATAATCGTAAAAGAGTGGAAAGAATTTCAATGATAAAGTATTCCCTGGCCAAGAGGAGATAAGGGATGTATAAAATTCTTCTGGATACAAAGACTAGGATTATTACCTCGAATCCACACAGCTTCTGTAATGAGTGAAATACGGGTCTGAATACCTTTCGAAATCTTTATTAGTAAACTTGTATAAATCTAACCTGGAGACTAAACTCACTATCCAATGAAAGGAACAACTCACATGACTATCTGAGATAGCCGTAGTTTAGTACACTAATATTCATACTGGGTGATGATTAAAGGTGAAATGAAAATTTGGACCACAGTGGGATTCGAACGAGTGACTACCGAGTTTCTGGTCCGATGCTTTACCATCTAAGCTAGGAGATCGAATTGTTGACCAGATTTTTATTTCACCTTCAATCATCATCTAGATATGACAATCTATATGATGCTCCCCATTTCTAATTTAGTTAGATTTGGATTTTGAATAAGAAGTCTTGACTAGGCAGGCATCCAGTAGGAGTATGATCAAGCGGTAGTAACGCATCACGAATTCACATAGTAGTTGGCCAAAACTCTTGGTTATTAGAGTGAAATAAAAATCTGGTGAGTGGTAGGACCTGGTACCTCAGTTGGTAGAGCATCGCGCCGGAAACCAGGTGGGCACTGGTTCGAATCCGACCGCGGTTCAAATTCTCATCTCACCTTCAATCATCACCCAGTATAAATAATGATAATAATAATAAATTGGGCTATAGGAAGTGTTCACTAGGGCGATTGTCAATACCCTGACATCATGTAACTGAACAATAACTTACAATTTTATTATGTAAGGTTAGGGTATTGTCTAATTATTTGAGATGTTCTAGATTATGTAGACTGTTGGAAAAGCTAAGAAACTCGAAGTATACTCAGCAAACATGTACCCATTTATTCAGTAGTCAATAAGCCACATCTGTTGTGCAGCGGCGGATAATCACACTACCCGACTGATCGCCTAAATGTCGATAGGTGGAACGGGGTTCGAACCCGTGATGAACCGAAGCTCTACTCATATACCTGTTGGAGAGATGAACTGATACAGCTTGAAATCGATTTTTTTTTAGTGTTTACAGTATTCTAAGTATTTATTGGTTCACATGTATTTGTGTTTCCTTGATATCCACTTTTAGTGGTTTTCTGTCTCTGTGCTCTTGCTAAGTCTGACAGGTTAGATGGTTACATTTTCCTACTAGGTTTCCATGTAGCTTTTTATCAATCTACCTGTCATATAGTAGACTATGAAGCTTTTTTGATCATGTATCGATTTGGGGACTGATCTCAGATAGTATGAATCTTTCAAAGTTGAAATAATGTTCCAATTTTTAATTGCTTGATTAACTCATGCTTCTTGTAAGGACATATATTTAAGGGTGATATGTTTACTTTTAAAGAGGAATCGAAAGTGTCATTGTTGTGTAGGTGAGAAAAGTCATCTCACAGTCTGGGTACTCGTGTTTTCAATCAGTTAAATACATACCAGGATCAGAATACTGGTCGTATCCACTTCGAATTCACACAAAATGAAAGTAGTTTATTTACGTATCGATGGGGGACGTGTTAGTGTTTATTCAAGTTCATTCAGTTGTTCGATACTCATCCTGTATCCAATTTTATAGGTAGTCGGGATCTGGATTAAAAGGAATTGTAACCCATTGGTCACGGATTCGAACTTCACTTCACCTATCGTGGTTCACATAACTAGAAAGTATCATTTTAAACGATGGGGTGACCGTTTCAAAAAACTTGAATCGACCACCACCTGCACTTCGTTATGAAATACCACCAGCAGCCCAGTCACAGAAATATCAGGAAACACAAACTCCACCACAAAAGTAGAGGTCCTCAACGCCCCTTGAAAGTTTCTGAAAGCCGGGAAAGCAGCAGGACCGCATTGAATTCCTCCAGAAGCACTGGAAACAGACTCAGAGACAACAGTGGACATACTCACACCACTATTGCAGAAGGTTTGCAAGGAAGGAAGGAAGGAAGGAAGGGAAGGTACCTACCTGTTAACTGATCTGAAGAAGGGCTACGTTGTCAACCTCCGAAAGAAGGGTGAAAGATGTAAGTCTTTGCAGGAACTGGCGAGTAATCATGCTGCTGGCCACCCAAAGCAAGCAAAGTATTGAGCTGCATCATTCTGGAGAGACTAAAAGATGCTCTGCATTCAAAATCTCCACCACAACAGACTGGCTGGCTGGCTGGCTGGTTTCAGGAAAAATAAATCAAGTGGGGATCAAATTGCAACGCAACGCTACGCCACACATCACCATAGAACAGAGCATAGAATGAATAGCAGTCAACTCAACTCTACCTCAACTTCATCCACTTTGATGAAAAGGCCTTCGATCAAGGCGTCGACCGAGAAGTAATTTGGCAGGTAGTTGCTGCTTCAATATAATGGTTTGACTGCCACAAACCTTTATCGACCTCATTCGACAGCTGTATGAAGACGCCACATGTGAAGTGATTGACAATGGAAGGCTTAGTGACGCGTTTGAAGTGAAGACAGGGGACAGGAGTGAGACAAGGTTGCCGCCTACTATCACCGATGATCTTCCTGATTATGGTCGGGTCGACTTGACACGACTCGACTGGGTCATGCAACAAACTGTGGGGAGCGCGAAGAGGGGTATACGCTAGCTGGACCGATGAAAAGATCCTAGGAGATTTGGAATTCGTCGATGAAATATGTCTAATGTAGCACAAACTCGAAGATCTACGGACGAAAACCAAGAAGTTGACAGAAGAGGCAGGACGGCGAAAACAGGACTTCAGGTGAACGTAGAGAAGGCGGAGGTGATGAAGATACCTAACTATCAACAGCATCAACAACAAGCACCATTAACATGAGAAACCTGAAGGAAGTTGTCTCTTTCACCTACCCAACTGGGTAGCATGGTTTCAACTACAGGTGGTGGTGGCGGAGATGAGAATGTCAAAGCCAAAATAGGAAAAGCAAGACCAGGTCTTAAGTAATCTGAAGTAATCAGTTCTGAGATCTACTGCACTGCAGTCAGCATAAAGCGTGAACAATATCCGGATTTTCAACACTAATGTCAAGTGAGTGCTTCTATATGGCTCGTGACGAAAAGCATTTCTAACAAACTGCAGACACGCATTACATGAAAAGCTGCTGCCTACGCTGGCTTGATACTGAATATGGAGATCAGATGGCAAGAATAATAAGAGTAAGCAAAGAGAAACTCTAGCTGGGTGGCAACGAGCCAACCAAAAACCTATCGCCTAACAAATATGCAGTAGAAAGAAGTAGAGATGGATTGGACATATATTGAGAAGACTGTTTAGGAACATTACGCGCCAGGCCATCGATTGAAACTCAAATGGGGAACGATGAGTTGGGCGTGCCAGCTGAGGGTGACATGGAAGAGATGGTGTAAGGAAGAAATGATAAGTTGTGGGCAATAGTGGAGCCAAGTACAAAATACTGCAGAGAAAAGAGTGGAATGAAGATGTGCTACTGAAACTCTATGGTTCCATTAGGTATTCAAAGGACAAATAATAATCATTTTAACCTTTATCACACAACCAGTTTAGCTTATTGTCTACTATATGAACGTGCTGTATGCATTTCAATTCAAGTCCGTAAGCAATTATATCCAACATAACGCTGTATCTGTAGATAAAGGTAAACCTATTAAACTGTATTGTAAATATTCATAAATCATAACTGATATCTGTTTGTCTTTTTTAGTATGGATCATTCTAAAATGTGTATACTTATAAAAAAAGCCTTTTCTTTCTCTTTTTTTTTCATTATTTAGGTGATGGTTCATTAACTTATTTATGTGAATGGATGTGGTGGATGGGTTTTATACTTATGGGAATTGGAGAATTGGCTAATTTTATTGCTTATGCATTTGCTCCAGCTATTCTAGTAACACCATTAGGTGCATTATCTGTACTGGTTAGTACATTATTAAGTGTACACTTTTTAAATGAACATATAAATTGTATCGGTGGATTTGGATGTTGTATTTGTTTATTAGGATCAACTTTAATAGTTTTATATGCACCAAAAGAGCAGAATATAACATCATTACAAGAAATGTGGTCAAAAGCTGCAGATCCACGTAAGTTCTATATACACATTGTAGAGAATTAAAAAATATTAAATTTTACTTTATAACTGAATAACATATATCATTATTCTATATATATTATACCGTCGTTGATTGGATCAAATTGGTCAGTCTCTGTTGGCATATGGGCTCCTGCATGGATGCCTTGATATTGCCTTCATTTTAATCATATATATTAATGATGAATAGTAGCTAGCAGTGGAATTCAGGATGCGCATCTCGTCCTGTTTGAGACTCATCATCTGAATGTACCTACCTTCTAGTGAATGATGTTGTTCCCATCGGGTTTTGAACTCGGGACCGATCGCTTCAAATGCCAGGACATAATCCACTAGACCATCGAGCCACGATAGCCACCTCTTGTGCGACGGTCAATTCTGTTCAATCAACGATGGTATCATACAAGTAATAACACTAAAACTATACCCGTCGCACAAGAGGTCACTGCCGTGGCTCGGTGGTCTAGTGGGTAATACCCTGGCTTTCTGAGCAATCAGCCCCGGGTCCGAGGCCCGGTGGGAGAAGGACTCACTGAAAGGCAGGTACATTCGGCTGATGACTTCGCCAGAAGTAGGAATTATGGACCACTGGATTCCGCCGAGCCAGTGGCTGCATGGTAATGTGCTGACCACGGAACTTGGAGATCCTGGGTGCGATCCCTGGCGGATGGGGTCACGAGTGCTCGCTGACGAGGAGTCTCATACTAGGACAAAATAGCTGTTCAGTGTTTCTCCAACCGATATCAGTCCATGACGAAAACCCACCTGAAATTTAGAATATGCAAACGGTATAATTATTCTGTCAGGTGTATATTCTAATGAAATCGTGCAGTCGTCTGACCTCCTTATGTGTTGTCTCTGACTTATTATTATTATTATTAGTCCCTTGGGTTCCTAGTGGAACATAGGGCTTCAGTAGCACGCCTCCAGTGACCGCTGTTCTCTGAGATCTTTTCAACCTGGTCCCACGACAGCCCAGAAGCTCTCACTTCCTCCTCGCACGATCTCCTCCATGTCACCCTCAGCTAGGACACCCAACTCGTCGCTTCCCATGGGGATTCTACTCGAGGGCCTGACGCGTGATGTCCTCAGTCGGCCTTCTCAGTGCATGTCCAATCCATCTCCACTTACTCCTGCATATTTGTTGGGTGATAGGTTCTTGCTTCGTTGGTTCGTTCCAAGAGTGAGTTCCTTGTTGCTTATTCTTTCTGGCCATCTGATCTTCAGTAGCGAGCCAGCGTAAGCAGTTATTGATGAATGTCTGTAGTTTATTGGAAATGCCTTTCGTGACGCGCCAAGTCTCTGAGCCATACAAGAGCACTGACTTGACGTTGGTGTTGAAAATCCGTATCTTGTTCTTTGTGCTGAGTGCAGAAGATCTCCACACTGGTTTCAGGCTAATGAACGCGTGTCTTGCTTTTCCGATTCTGACTTTGACGTCCTCGTCCGTCCCGCCTGTAGTTGAAACAGTGCTTCCTAGATAGGTTAAGGAGGTTACTTCCTTTAAGTTTCTCCCGTTGACGGTGATTGGAGTTTGTTGTTGTTGGTGGTGGTGTGGTATCTTCATCACTTCTGTCTTCTCTATATTCACCTGAAGTCCCGTCTTCGCTGCCTCTTCTATCAACTTGTTAGTTTTTGCCTGCAGATCTTCAAGTTTATGTGACATTAGGCATAAGTCATCGGCGAAATCCAAGTCTTCTAGGTTCTTTTCCGTCGTCCAGTGTATCCCCCTCTTCTCGCTGCCTACTGTTTGCTGCATGATCCAGTCCACCACAATCAAGAATATCATGGGTGATAGTAGGCAACCTTGTTTCACTCCTGTCTTCACTTCGAAAGCATCACTGAGCTTTCCATTGTGAATTACTTGGCATGTGGCATCTTCATATAGTTGTTGAATGCGGTTGATAAAGGTTTGTGGTATTGCGTAGTATTGAAGCAGTTTCCAAATTACTTCTCGGTCGACGCTGTCAAAGGCCTTCTCAAAGTCGATGAAGTTGAGGTGGAGAGGTGATTGCCATTCTATGCTCTGTTCTATGATGATACGAAGCGTTGCAATTTGGTCTGCACATGATTTGTACTTCCTGAAGCCTGCCTGTTCCGGTCGTAGTTTTGAATCCAGTGCATCCCTTAGCCTCTCCAGGATGATGCGGCTTAATATTTTGCTTGGGGTGGACAGGAGAGTGATTCCGCGCCAGTTCTTGCAAGCACTGAGGTCCCCCCTCTTTGGCAGTTTGACAAGGTAACCCTTCTTCCAATCGTCAGGTACCTTCTCTTCTTTCCACACCTTCTGCAATAGTGGTGTGAGCATGTCCGCTGTTGTCTCTGCATCTGTTCTCAGTGCTTCTGGCGGTATTCCATCTGGTCCTGCTGCTTTCCCGCATTTCAGTAGCTTTATGGCGTTCAGGACTTCCATTTTCGTTGGGGGATTAATGTTCACTTGTAGTTCAGCGGCTGCAGGTGGTATTTCTGGACGAAGTGCAGGTGGTGGTCGATTCAAGAGCTTCTTGAAGTGGTCGGCCCATCGTTTCCTCTGTTTCTCTTCTTTTGTAATTAAATTTCCTTCTTCATCTTTTATTGGTTTCATCTGTGTTGGTCTCTTCCCAGATAACAACCTGGTTATTTGATACAATGATGTCAGGTCTCTCTTACCTGCAGCCTGTTCTGCTTCACTTGCCAGTGTTTCGTAGAAGTGTCTTTTGTCTTTGCGTGCACTCTTCTTCACTTCTTTGTCCAGTGTTTTATACATTGTGCTCAGTTCCTCTTGTCGTTGAGCGTCCTTGCACTGGTTTATCTTCTGTTTCACCATCCTCCTGTCACTCCTCTATCAGCTTCCAGGTATCCGTCGAGATCCATTCCTTATCTTCTTTCTTCTTCCTTCCTAATACTGTTGTGCAGGTTTCTTTCCACATAGTTTTCAAAGACTTCCAGTGTTCTTCCACACAGGTTTCTTCAGGGATGTTGCTCGATGTCTCCCATTTTGTCTTGATGGCTGACGTGAAGATCTCCTTTGTAGTTTCATCCTTCAGTTTCCGAGTGTTGTACTTGGGTTGAGGTCTATCACCAGCTTCCTTGAAGGCTTTTAACTTGATTTGGAAGGTTCCTTGCACTAGGTAGTGGTCTGAACCTACATCTGCTCCTCTTCTTGACCTTGTGTTAAGTAGACTGCGTCTCCATTTTCTTGAGATTGAGATAAAGTCGATTTGATTTTTAGTGTGTCCATCTGGTGAAATCCATGTCGCTTTGTGGATATCTTTGTGCCTGAACACACTGCCTCCACTCACCAAATCGTTGAATGCGCAGAATTCTGCAAACAATTCTCCATTCTCATTCATTTCACCTAGCGCCTCTCGACCCATGGTTAGTTCTCTTCCCGTGTTGTCCCCTCCCAGTTTGGCATTCATGTCGCCCATCAGAATTTTGATATCGCCAACTGACGTGGTCTTGTCCAGTGTTGATTGAAGTTGTCTGTAGAAATCCTCCTTTTTCTCTTGCTCTGCATTATTTGTAGGTGCATAACATTGTATGATTGTGACCTTCCTTCCTTTTGAGTTGAATCTTGCTGTCATGATCCTGGAGGAGATTGGTTCCCACTGCATGAGAGCCTTCGATGCTCTTGAGGACATCATGATAGCCACTCCCTCAGTGTGCTCGTGGTTGTCGTCTGGGTGACCGGAGTAGATTATTGATTCTCCAGTTGACAGTTTGGAGAGTCCACTCCCATTCCATCTGCTTTCGCAAATTCCAAGCACTTCGATGTGATACCTTCTCATCTCCCTTGCAATCTGGGCTGCCTTACTGGGTTCAAACATCGTGCGGACATTCCATGTCCCCACGTTTACTTTCGCTTTCATCGAGAGAAGACACATCGGCCAATTGGCTTCCCGAAGGCTTTCACCAACTGGCGTCATTTCGCCTCTCCGATTCCAGCGGGGAATAAGTTTGTTTTCATTTTTTATATTTTGTTTGTGCTTTGGAGTTTCTTTAGCGGTTAGATTTATTTTACGGGGTAGGGTTGCTAGCCCTATGCCCAACCTTCCCTCTTTACCCGGGCTTAGGACCGGCTAGTAACTAGTAAACTAGATAACCAGGCGAGGTTGTTGTCTCTGACTAGTAGACTAAATATCTGAGCCATGTGATTCTTCGAGGTCATCTATAATACTGACCGTGACGTAAATTCTTTCCGGTTTACTTGCCATGTCTCATATGCTCAAATTATCAACATGACGAGTCACCCAGTTTGACTCTCTCCTGAACAACACATACAAGCGAACATATAGTCTTGTGCTGATTGTTCGTATTTATCTTTGACAGTCTGAGCCATCTGAATATGTACAACTAAAGTAGTTGAGAAAGCGGCAGTTAACTTGAAACGATGAGGGGCAGCAGGTCCAGACGGCAAGTGTTGGGGGGCCTATCTCAATGTTCCATTCAGGACTCGACTGGATAGCGGGCAACGCAATGGTGGCTGGAGGCCAGTTAAACTGTTCCTCGAAGTGTTCTGCCCATCGTTCCAGTCGTCTCCCCTGCGAGTGAACCGCAGATCCGTCCTTCTCCGCCATAGCCTCACTAACTGTTGTTGATCTTTTCCCCCCAGTCTCCTTAATAAGTCTAAATAACTGTCTACTATTACCGATCGCCGCTGCCTTTTTCCATCTCTTTAGCCTTCGCTGCCCACCACTGTTCACGATCGTTGCGCAGACTTTTCATCAGTCTATTTTTAAGTTGCACTCGCTCTTCATTGTACTCAGAGCCTGCAGGGAGGTGTTCACGTGCATCCATTAGTTAGGAAGAAGCTGCTGATATCCACTGGCTCTTTTGAGGCCCTCTTTGGGAGTCGGTTACAGTATTAAGTGCTGCTTCTACAGCAGACTGAAGAAGGCATCAAGCTTCTTCTGGATGAGTGACAGTATTTTGTTCCGATAACTGCCTAGACAACTTCTCACTGAACACAGCTTTGGTGTTTCCGTTTTCCAGCAGCACTCGTAGTGGTTT